TAAATCTCAGGAGCACTCTAGGAACCCTTGCTTCAGCTTTGTTTTTGGAGGCAAAGGAAAAATGATCTCCTGGTTTACTTTTGGAATCTGCAAAGCATCTCTGAGGTCCCAGGTGGATTTGGCGTTTGGAAAAGGGACTTTGGGGGACTAAGGTTGACCCTGAGCCCCCAGGTCACTGTTCACGTTTACAAAAGCAAACCTGGTATCCCCAATTGCTTTTCTCTTGAGGTTGGCTTAACTTTATTTATCTTCTGTCTTGGGTCACTGCCCCTGAGGTGCTTCAAAAGCAAAACCCAAAAGACCCCAAACAAAGAAAGCTAAACCAGATTCAAGGAAAAAATGACCTGGCACTCTGGGTTCACTTTTACAAAGGGAAAAAGTCACTTCGAGTTTCATGGAATGGTTTTAAGTCAGCCTAGATTCATTGTGTCATTTGCACAAAGTGATCTCAACAGGTCTTAGACCCCAAGTTTCTGGGGTGTAGCTCTAGAGTGAGACTTAGGGTGGGAAACTGTCAGCAGGCTAAATGTGATGACACAAACGGATTCTTCAGTGATTCAACTATTTTGAGCATATGAATGGGACCACCCATGTAACCATTTCTTTCCTTAAGCTGAATCTTTTCTGTTTGGTGGACACACAGGGAATGCTAAGGAAGTGAAACTTACAACTTACTTACAAATATTGGCATAAATCCACTTTATGTTATCAGATTAGTTATGAAGGGTATTTTTGAATCCTTGGTGAAAAAATAGTTAGGATACTAATTTTAGGTAATCTTATAAATCACGGTGATATAGAACTGAGGTGCATTATTTTGCTGTTCATTTTTATATGATCCATACTTTGCTTACTTCCCAAAAGGATTTAAGGTGGAATTACTTTACTTGACTATTGGAACAAACCCATTTATAGAACTTAATACCAATTTTCATTATAATATGCCTGACTTTATCCTTTAATAAGTAATTGTAAAATTGCTTTTGGATAATCTAGGGGAGATTTTTGTTTTTGTTCACATTTGATCTACATCTTTGAATTTTTGGTATATGTGTTAACTAATAAACTCATCTGTTGAGACTGTGTCTTACTGTTTATTTACAAGACTGAGAGAGATTTTGTGTGATTAATAAAATGTATTATTTATGTATTGCCATCTTAAGGAAGTAAAACTTGAGATAGAGAAGCGAGGTTTTCCATAATTTAGGTTTTACTATTAAGGACATAGTGCACCCTGTGAAACCTGACCGAATAAGAGAGGCCGTCCCCACGGCAGTGACTGTTGGTGTGGAGTGAAGGTGAGCGTCCGTAGTGGTACCTGTCATCACTCCAGTTGCCTCATCTCTTCCTGTCACCCTCTGGCCCCAGGGCAGTCACGTGCTTCTTAAACCATCCCAGAGAGCAGGGATCGCGCATCTTGGTCAAAGCAGGCATGGACAGCAGCCTACGGAAACAGGCTCAGTCCGTACCTCTGGCCTGGTATAGTGTCAGTTGGCCTGGTATCGTGTCAGTTTCATAATGTCCTAGTTTCGTGTTACATCTTTCACTTTGCTAGAACTGTACTTTAAAAAATGAGAAAGGACCTATAATTGTTACAGATAAGGGACACTGGTAGACCATTCAAAAATATTAGTGCTCTTCTCTAGGAAGAACATATACTTATTCAACATTAGACCCAATGCTTTACTGTGAGGGAATTTGCCTTCTTTACCAATGCTCCAGGGAGATCCTGGGAGAGATGGAGGGGAGTCGGCTGTCTGCGTTCACTTGCCCTGGTTTGCCCGCAGGCCAGCCCGGGGCCTTCTTCAGAGGCCTGTCAGCACAAGCCAAAGTAGTCTGTATGGTGCTCATGTTTTGTACTCATGAAGCTTAAGGAAAAGGCCAAAGTAAACTTGGAATAGTGTTCTGGCATCATCAATCGGTTTTATCTTGAATATCTGCTGAGTAGTTGCACTCCGTTGGACACATTATATGAGTTTTCCTGCCTATTTTTGTGAAGTGTGTCTCTATTTACCTGCCAATGCAGTATTATGCATTTGAAAAATCCGTACACACGTGGAAATGAGAAAGCAGAATATGAGATCAATGTGCTTGCGGGTCCCATATTTCTTCTCCATGTACATCCGTGTACTTCAGGGCACAGACCCTGGAATGGTGCTCAGGTCCATGGCCGTTGGATTCACGGGCTGAGAGTAATGAGCAAGCAGTCACTGGCTCCTACATAAATGAGTAGTTTCCGTTTATTCTATTAAATTGATAGTAGCTTCCTCACGCTACTGTGGTTTAAAATACTAGGGTTTTGTATGTATAGGTTTTTTCTTTATAATTTCTTCACGTTAACATCGAAATATTACTTGTTTCCTTGTTAACTGCCTCTCTGCCTTCCCCACTTATAATGTAAACTCTTCGAGGACAGGGACTTACTCCATATTGTATCTCTGGTGCCGAGCACAGAGGCTGCCTCATTACAGGTGGGCTGTCAGTATTTGTTGAATGAATTAATGAACGTTACCTAGATCCTTGGCCCCTTTATCCACATTGGCAATGCATCCCCTTCACCATTAACATGCACGTTTATGCAGACTTCCATAGATATCTGTAACTTAAACTCTGCACAATACATATTTCTATAAAGGGTTCCTGTAAATTTGAAAGCATGTAGATTACATTTGTCTACATATGGACAGGTAGGTTAAGTTTGGTGGTTCCTGTCATTTCTAGCAATAAGAGATTTGCATTGGAGTATCTGGCCATATGTGAAAATTGTAAGCATAATATTTCTTTATCTAGGAAAGTCTGTTTTTGTGCTGTAGAAGAACCAGTTCTGTATTCACAGTTGGAGTTGGTGTAGGTTTTAAATTAATTAAGTGGGCTCCTCCTTTCCCACCTGGGGGTAGATCAGCACAAGAGAAAAACAGACTTAGTTTAAGGCCTCTTCCTCTTGCAAATCCCAAAGGTCATGTTGCTAATGCCTTTTGGAAAGAAAGGGAGATTACAGCCAGTATACAGTTATTAAGTGTTACTTTCTGCTGGCTGTGCACATGGCCACACACACTTGTGCAAACGCATACCTAACCTGAAAGAGGAATCCTTCAAAATGAGGTTTTCGGCAACAGCTCTATAAGGAGTATTCATTATTGAACTTTAATATACAAATATCTAAGCCTTATTTCTAACTCTAGAGTTAATACATGTCCTCCACTGTAGAATGTTATAAAAATAAAGAAGATAATAACAGTTACTCATAATCCCATCACACAAATAACAGCCATTCTTAACATTTGCTCAAATTTTCTTGCAGACTTTTTTGATGGGTTTTTAGGTAATTTTAGTAGCAACATTTATTATAAGCATCTTCCTAAGCTATTTAAAATTCTGCGTAGACATCAGTTTTAATAACCACATGATATTTGTCTTACAGACATACCTCACTATTTAATCACTCTTAATACTGAGATTTAGGTTGTTTTTCTCTCCTTCAGTGTTTTGATAACACAGATAACATTTTTGAGAGAATATTTTTGCTCATAAGTTTTTGCCCACTTTTATTAATGTCTCCCGAATGGCCATTTTTGTAAGGTTCTTAAACATATAACAAAATCACACTGCAGAGGAGCTACACCAATTTACATTTTTACCATGGGAGCGTATGGAAGTAACTTTTCCTGCTTGTGAAGGGAAGGAAAACTGTACTTGTTGCAACAGCTAAAAGTTACATAGAACTTTTAAAAGTTCCCTTCTTTCATAGACAGTATATTCCTTTAATATTGTGTCAGTGTAGTTTCTGTACCAGTGTTTTAAATTTTGGTACAGCCTAGAATGTTGTCTGACAGAAAATATAGCTGCTTTTAAGATTAGTACTTGATAATTTCATGATAGAATTTTCTTCTTTTTACAAGAAATTCTCTATTAACAGTTGTAATAGATTAACAGCTTTTGGATGTTGGAAAATAGTCAGATAAGTCCATTACCTTCCTAAGGAAAAGCTACTTTCTTGTAACCTTTCCTCAGGTTTTAACCACGGCAGAAGCTCTATCGCTCTCACAGTTATGGGTTGGCTCACATACCCTAAATGCAAATACTTTATTCATTTGAAAGCAAAAGCAGTATGCTCCTTGGTTATAAAGTGAGTTAAAACAAAAAAGAAGAAATAATATAAAAACTGAAAGAAGGTAGTAAGTACAGCATTTAGTTTTCTGAAACAATTCAAATGGGGATAGGAAGTTGGTTTTAAATGGCTTAAGGGGATTAGGGTTTTAAAGTTGGATGAGGAGTTTGGTGCTTTGGTTTAGGTAGGGCATTGCTTTTAAAAGATTACTTTTCCATATTTGACAACAGTTCTAACTGGAGATTATAAAGCAAATAGTCAATTTTAAAACATTGTGGAAAACAAGAGGGTTTCTTTTTTGTTGTTGTTTGTTTATACAAAATGATCCCCTAGAGTTAACATGCTGAGTCCTGAAAACCTCTTTTCATAACACTGCAGCGGATCTATCACCAGGGAGAATCCAGCCGAGGTTGTTTAATGCACTTAATTGAGATTATCTTAGCTTTTGGTTTAAATTACTTTGGGAAAGTCTAGATGCAAATGGCTTCTTAGAAAGGTAAACATACTTAACCTCTAAGAGAAAAGGTTCAATTTAAGTACTTTAAAATTCTTCACTTAGTAGCACCAACTCTTACTAACTTTGAGTATGATCTGAATAATGTGTAAAGTTTAAATCTCTATACCTAATATAGTTAATGTAACTATATTAATGGTGTTTTCATTATTTTACAATAATTTGAAAATGTAGTCAAGTGTTAATTTCAAAAGCAAAAGGGTAGTAAATTCTAATAGTTATAAAGTATAGTTAATGAAGTTTTAAAAATGAATTTCTGTATTCTGTTTTATCTAAGAAGCAGGTCATATTAAAATGGATTGAGAATGGCACATCCTTTATGTATTAGCTCTAGGTAAATAGTCAAAAGTTGGTTTAACATTTCCCCATCTTTCTCAGCTCCTGGACCTGTTTATGGTTTGGGATTGGTCCACTTACCTAGCTGATTATGGACAGCCAGCTTCTAAGTACCTCCGGGTGAATCCAAACACAGCCCTTACTCTTTTGGAGAAGTGAGTATATTCTGAAAAACTTTTTTACATAATATTTTAGCATTTTGTGATTCAGTGATAATTGGAAGAACTAGAGATTTTCATCAAAAGAGAAATGTCTAAAGGGAGCTTAAAAGCTTAGTCCATTTTAATGACCAAAATATAAGCCTCTTTCTTGTCCTTTAATGTTGATGTGGTTTAATATGAGATTGCTGTTTATGTTGACATGAACAAAACAGTTTAACTGTTGTATCCTCAATAGCAGGCTTAATTGGCCTTAGAAAAATGTTTACCTGAGACAAATGAGAATTGGAACTGTTCTTTTATACTATAACATAGGAAATAAGTTATTTTGTAAAATATGGCTGGGAATTGGAATGTTTGCTACCAGCAAGTACTATCAAAATCCCACCATTGTGGACTTGGGTTCTTTGCAGGTAGATAAGCATGTGATTTAAAAATGATGCAGTAAAAACTGAAGTAACAGGACACTTACTGGTGCATCCTGTCCCAGTAAAAATAATACAGGTTTAGGTGTTGGTTTTCCCCCAATTATGTGGCAGATTTAAGTATCACTATTAAAATGTTCAGTTGTTGAATTAAAAGTGTATATGATTTTCCCACATTTCAAAACATCTGTGGTTCATTTTACTAGAGAAGAAAAAGAACTATTTAAAATAAATATAAATTTATTTTACAATACCATGAAATACGACTGAAGCAAAAAAAATGGTTGCTTTAAATTTTCTAGTGTTACTTTTCCTTTCACTGTGTCTTTCTGTGAATGTAATCTGCAGAGTTAACAGAGGGTGTGAATTTTAGTGCACTTTATAGAATGATACTAGAAAATAGTGTGGTATCAGAAAACTTAATATACTTTAGAATTGTGTACTAATGCAAAAACACCACTTTTTATAGAATGTAGAACAAAGCCACTAATTTTGTGTGTGGTTGCCATTTTGGTAATTTTATTAATACTTATTTTCTTCTAAATATATTTTTCAAGCAAAGGATTAGTGTGAAATAGTTCAGAACATGCCAAGATATTTTACTTGTGACAGCGTAGCTTATGATTTCCTTTTACTAAGCTTCTTTATTCACATATATTCCTAGGATGAAGGACACGAGCAAAAAGAACAATATATTCGCGCAGTTCAGGAAGAATGACCGAGACAAACAGAAGCTGATGGAGACAGTGATGAAGCAGCTGAGAAGCCTGGTGAACGGTATGTCCCAGCACACGTAGGCCGCACTCCCTGCACTCAGTGACACCAGGTCCAGGACCGAACACTGCTCCCTGATGGGCACTGGATGTGGCCACAGCAGTTTGTGTGCAGAATTAAAAAATACAGCAGAAAAAAGACACTGATGAGAGCTGAAACAAGAAACAATAATAAATATCATTTGTATGGATTTTTAAATAATTGAGTACTATTTTATATATGGAAAATGTGACATTAATTTTTTCACTTTTAAAAATATGTGTAAATCATAAAAAATTGTATATGAAACTGATTGTAAATATGTTAGAAAAACTTATGCCTCTACATATAAATATCTTTTTTATTCAAACTTCAGTGGTTTGTTTTTTTCATCAGTGTTTGGTTTTGGAATGTAATCATATCTGATTTGGGAATATTTCACTGCCATTTTCTGACTTTTAACCTTTACTTTTCACCTAAATATAATTTAAGCAGACAAAAATTTTCTAATTCTGCTGATTCTGAGGGAGATATAGATAAATCTTTAAAGGTCTCTGAAATCAAACTTGATTTAATTTAGTAAGAATGTGAATTATGTGTTCTCCTTGGGTGGTTTGATGTAATCATTCTGAATTTGAAGACAAGGTGTGGGATTTTCTGAAGATGCAATGTTTCTGTTCTGCAGGGCTAATATTCCTAACTATATTGCTTGTAGCTGACCCCATTCTAGAATTTATTTGGTTTGGTTTGGGTCACGTTAAAAGAGGGAACAGGAAGTAAGTGGGGCTGACCACTTCAGGTGCAGCCTGTGCGAGGGCAGGTGTGTTCCCACCCTTGTGACCACAGGGCTCGGGTTACTGCTTCAAACAGCAGGTCTCAGTGCCGTGTCCTCCTTGTGGAAACAGGCCAAACCAAACGAACTCTGGAAAACCTCCTCAAATGAATGTGCATTTTCCCTTTGTGCAAATCACCGTGATCCAGACATCAGTCTGATCCTTACTTTCTCTTCATTGTATTTATGCTGAATATTCCTTTTGCATTTTCAGGATTTATGCCTGTGAGAAACTTACACCTGACTCTGTAAAATAAATGTAAAGAATTATATGTACATTTCTTGATTTTTGTGATGAAACATAAAAAAGGTTGAGCAAGTTCTTGAAAATGAGTTGGTGTTGCATGTATTCGGAGCTTCCTGATTTAAAACAACTGCTTCCTTTAGAAAGGTTATTATTCCCTAGTTATTGGAATAGGGGTATCACCAAAACAAAGAAAATAAACATTCTTTCGACTATATCTTATCCTAAAGCTTTTCACATTTTAAAACTATTACATGGAAAACATGGTAATTCTTAGAAGGTACTGGAGGAGCGCCACGGACTAGCTACCTCTCTTTGAAGACTGTGGAATGCGGCTGTCCCTCTTGCGCCTTACCCAGCCCTCCAGGGCCCCGCGGGGCCTCTGGGCTTTGGCAAGGCGTCCATCCAGGATTCCCAGAGCCCCAAGCTTTGCTCTGCTCGGAGCAGACTACTGAGGGTCCTCAGCTGGAACGGTCTTGAGGAGTTCACCTTACTTTTACCTCCCTGTCCCTCTGGTTGCGCTGTAGGGACCGAGATGCGCGAGTCCTTGGGGCATTTGGAGCCCTCAAAAACTATAGGAAACAACCCTGTAGATGGGAGCGGGGGCCCTCTGGAGAGGAAGGAAATGGTGATTTGGTCCTTGAGACCCCCAAGGAGTCCAGGGATATCTGCCCCTCGTGGGCTTCGGTCAACAATGACACTACCATCTTTTCAAGGATTCCTGAAGTGGTAGATCAGAGACCAGGGATGGATGGGGGATGTCAGCAAATCTCAACCGCAGCTATACTTGTGGGCGCCTGCGATGCCTAGGTTGGCATCGAACACCGCAATTTCCCAGAAAGGGGAACGGGGCAAATGGGAGAAACCCCAGCCCGTAGCCTTGGAGTGCGGGGAGCAGGAGAGACACCCAGAAGTTCGAGGGTGTGAACCCCAGGGAGCAAGTTAGCCCTCCGCTTGTCCCCCACAAAGCTCCTGCGTCCGGCGGGGAGGTTCTGGCGCGGAACCCGCAGATCCCGCCGGAGGGGCTGCGCCGGGAGCCTCAGCCCCGCTGCAGCGCGCTGCGGCTGCCACGCCCTGCTCCTAGCCCCTCGGTGAGCGTGCCGCTGCCCACCGCCTCCAATCGGTACTGTGTGTGGAGCTCTTTAAATATGCATAGGCACGTCACGTCGTGTGGATCAGGATCTGTCCGTTGGGAGGGAGCCAGTGTCTATATAATGTGTCCAGGGTGGGCCGAGAAGGGTTAACAGACTGGGGGAGAGAGAGAGGCGGGGCGGGGGTCTACATCCCCGGTGATCGAAGCCCAGGTTGGCAACACCGGTAAGTTGCTCCCCTCTTTGCCTGCCCTTTTTGCTTCTATCAAAGGAGTGGTCCCGGAGCTGGTCCCGGAGGAGGTGGGAGGTGCCCATGGGTGTCAGGCATGAGGGTCCCGAAGCAGCCTGCACCCTGAGAGAGAAAGTCTTGAGCTCGCGTGGGCCTTGAGGAAGGCATGTACCCTAAGGGCGCGTGGTCACCGCTGTCTCACACTGCCAGTCGGCTTTGAGAGCCAAGTCCTTGGCCGAGGTTGTAACTCTCAGTCTGGCCCCCGAGCCCCAGGACCTTTCCGGACAGAACGGGTGAGCACTGCGCGTTGCCCGCTCCTCAACTCCATCGCCCCAGCGCTCTGCGCGGCCTGGCCCCCCGCAGGCTCGCCATGTTCCCCTGCGGGCTGGGCTGCCTGTCCGTGCTGGGGGCGGCCGGCACCGCTCTGCTGTGCGCCGGCCTGCTGCTCAGCCTGGCCCAGCACCTCTGGACCCTCCGCTGGACGCTGAGCCGGGACCGGGCCTCCTCCCTGCCCCTGCCCAAGGGCTCTATGGGCTGGCCCTTCTTCGGGGAAACGCTGCACTGGTTAGTTCAGGTGAGCAGTTGGTGGTTCTCACCCCTCTATGGCCCCTTCTGCCCTGGCTCCCACTGGACCCTCATTCTTCTCAGTGCTCCCAGGGTTCGTAGCCAGTCTCCACCCGTTGTCCTTGGAGCATACACTGCCCTCGCCTTCGCCCACCTGCTCCCTCGAAAGGACCTCTGTCACCGCAGTTCTCCCCAGCGCTATTTAAACACGTCCCGACATGTCGCGGGAGTAAACAGAAGGGTTCTAGGAAGTTTGACGAGCAGGCATAGAACCGGCTGTCGGGTGGCGTCTCAGCCGTGAGCCCTTGGACGCTCACATCCCCTTTCTGAGCCTTACTCTCCTCGTTTCACCAATAGGAACAGGAGTATCTACATTCCTATAGCGTAGTTGCGAGTCCCATTTGAGATTTTTGTAAAGAGTTAACGCTCCAGCCTGGAGGCAGGGGGCTGTTGTCCTGGGACGGTTGGGAGGCTTGGGCCAGATTCCCAGCGGCCCCAGCCCTCTTCGCTGCGCCTTGCGCAGGGCTCGCGTTTCCACAGCTCCCGCCGGCAGCGCTACGGGACAGTGTTCAAGACGCACCTGCTGGGCAGACCAGTGATCCGCGTGAGCGGCGCGGAGAATGTGCGCACAATCCTGCTAGGCGAGCACCGTCTTGTGCGCAGCCAGTGGCCACAGAGCGCTCACATCCTACTGGGCTCGCACACACTGCTCGGTGCTGTTGGTGAGCCACACCGGCAGCGGCGCAAGGTGAGCCCAGACCAGAGTAGGGGCCATCGGGGATGTCAGACCGGCGTTTCTCGGGCACCTGGTGTGGGCTAGGTCGGGACTAAGTGTTAAGGGTACACCACAAACCTGGCCGGGATCCCTGGCTAACGAGTGGGTGGCCTCGGAACAGTCCCTTACCTTCTCCGACTTAGGTTTTTAAGGCCAGGATTGGGACTTAAAGGTCCTTTCATCTCTGACCTTCTGTACCTCTGATACCAGAAGCGCTGGAAGCTGGAAACAGACTTGGAGAGCTGTTAGGGACGACTTCTTGGAGGAGGAGGCAGCTGGAGCCTAGATTGGTGGGAGGGACTGTACAACAGAAAAGAACTAGAGGGAATGCCGAGAACAGAAGCCATCACGTGTAGGTCCGGGCCACTTAGAAGAGGAAGAAGGGCCCGAAATTGGCTCCTCTGGAATTGCGGAGCAGAGGAGGCCGTAGCGCTGCCAGGGCTCACCCCTCGTGCTCCCTACAGCTTCTGGCACAAGTGTTCAGCCGCGCAGCGCTGGAGCGCTACGTGCCCCGCCTACAGGGGGCGCTGCGGCGCGAGGTGCGCACCTGGTGCGCAGCCCGCCAGCCAGTCAACGTGTATGAGGCCACCAAAGCCCTCACCTTCCGTATGGCTGCGCGCATCCTACTGGGGCTACAGCTGGATGAGACACAATGCGCAGAGCTGTCCCGAACTTTCGAGCAGTTTGTGGAGAACCTCTTCTCGCTGCCCCTGGATGTGCCCTTCAGCGGCCTACGCAAGGTACTACTGCCCCAGCCCCGACCTTCCTCTTACGGCTTTCTTGGCGCGCCCCACGCAACACTTCTGTTGGAGCGGCGTGATGTGGCGTTGGGTGCTGGGATTGCCCTCTGCCCTGACTTGCAGTGTCACCCGAGGCGGGACACACACCCTCTCTGGGCCAGATGATCATGCTCCGGCTGCAGCAGCCGTGGGCCTTCTTTTGGATACTCGGTGGCAGGCGCCGGTCCAGTCCGCCCAGCCCCTCCCCAGAATGGCGCCTCCTGGCCGGGCCTCCAACACCCCTTTGGAAGCCCGGACGGCTGCGGAACGGATGGAAGCTTTAGGGCTGCAGACATGCCCCCGGCCCAGCCCGGCGCCAGCCCGGGTGGGAGAGGGGTGGGTGCCCGCTCCCCGCCCTCGGCCCGGGGCCCGCTAGTTTCCGGATCAGAGAACCGCGGCCTCTTCAGACTTCAGAGCTAAGGGCGAGGCCCAGGGAGCGGCTAGGAAGCCCCATCCCACCTTTCCCTTCTCCCTGAGCTGGGGCTTCTCACTGTGCCAGTGCAGTGGTTTTCAGTCACCTGGGTAAAAATAATAGTTATGTATAAAGGGGCATTATATGGGCTGATCACCTTGGATACATTTCCTGATTTAATCCTCTCAACCTGCAAAGTGTTATTCTCATTTTGTTGATAAAGAAACTGAAGCTCAGGCAAGCTAAATAACTTACCCAAGATCACACGACTTAGTAAAGGGGCAGTGAAACCCTTTACTCCAACTACTCTGACTAAAGAGTTCAAACCCTCAAATGCTTTTGCATGCTTGCTCCCTGAACTCTGGAGGGGCACCCTGGCCCTCTTGCCTACCACCTTGCGAAGGCTGATGCTTAGAATATATCCCATTGTGTCTTCTAAGCCAGAGCTTTTCTGGGTGCATCAGGGTGTCCCTTGCTCTCTGCACCAGTGCCTACTGTCTGTGCCGGAGCCCAGTGCAAGGGAAAGGCAATGAGCTGACTCCACCCCCACAACTTTGTGCCCACATGGGCACTGATGGCTGTGTGACTCTGGGCAATTGCTTGACCTCTCTGGGCCTCAGCATCCTACCTTAAGGACCAAAGAAACTACCTGCCTCAAAGGAGCTTGTGATAATCAAGAGAGAATGATGTGTCGGTAAAGTGGAAAAATTCTGGGCATTTATTAAAAGCCTTCTGTGTGCCAGGCATGGAGCTAAGCTGGGAAACTGCTATCACCAGGAACTCAGCAGAGCCAGAGCAGCCCTGGGAAGATTGGAGGTGGGGGGTAGGGGGCGGGGAGGAGCCCAGGCCTGGTCCCCTCAGCCTTCCTACCCCACCTCCCTTCTCTCCCTGTGCATCAGGGCATCCGGGCAAGGGACCAGCTACATCGGCACCTGGAGGAGGCCATTGCAGAGAAGCTTCGTGAAGACATGACTGGGGAGCCAGGAGATGCCCTGGCCATGATTATCCACAGCACTAGGGAGCTGGACCACGAGCTCTCAGTGCAGGAACTGAAGGTAAGTCGTGAGAGGTCTGGCCTTCTCCCCTCTTTTGCATTCTTAGCAGGGTTATAGCCCCACCTTAAGCCTTAGTCACTCCTCAGGGGGAGGGGGAAAGGAGACTAGGCTTCCAGTCCTGACTCAGCCCCACCCACTCTCAGTGGGAGCCTAGAAGGCTTGAATCCTAGGCCCTTCTGGCCACAAACAGCTCCATTCCCCCTCCCCCTTCTCTGTCACTCCTTGCCTTTGCCTCTGTTGTGCCCCCCACCCCCACCCCATGAAGCCCTCTTCGCTCCTTTTCTCTACAAACCCTAAGGGCTCGGGGTCAAACTCCACATCCTCCTGGAAACTCCCCACTTCCCATGAGGCACCTTGGCACCTGACACTGCTACCAGTCTGTTTGTCACTGTGGGATCCCCCAAAGAACTGGAACCGCTCCCCAAGTGTGCATAGCATGCAGTGGAGGTGGGGGGAGCTTTGGACTGGCCCCCAGGACCTGCTTGACAACCCAGAAAAACAGTGGAGAAGTTGGGGAGCAGGAGAACGTTAGAAATCGAAACACCTCAGCCCTTCTGAAAGCAATTCCCATCCCTGTTCTAGGCCTCAATTTCCCCTTTACACCCACCTCAAAGTGTGGGGCTCAGCCTTCGTTTCCTCTCTGAGAATGGGGCTAATAACCTCTACCCTGACTCCTGGGTGGCTGTGAAGTCTGGAAGAGTCAGGTGGTGGGCTCCCCCGAGGCCTGGGGGAGCCCCAGGGTAGGAACAGTTCTGGGTGTGGAGAGGAGTGCATGGTTCCACCGCCTCAACAGGGATGGGAAGGGGTGGTCCCGGGTTTCAGGGAGCAGCTTCCTTTCTGGTCCAGTATTGGGGCAGGTCAGGCAGGCTATGTTCGCCTTTTCAGGGAGGATGTTAGGGCTGGTGTCAAGGTCTCTGTCCTGGCTCTGCATCTTTTTCCAGGCAGACAGCTTTGGATCCGGTCATTCATTCCACACACACTATGTACCTAGTCAGTGTCAGGCTCTGCGCTGGGACTGGGGATTTAGAAATGATCAAAACACAGCCCTCCCCCTTGAGGTGCAGGAGGGGTGGAGTACACTTTCATCTTATGTACTCCACAAGAGTATAAACACACACCGTGGCTGCTACCAGGAAGGAAGACAGGGAGCTGGGAGGGCAGAGGCAGGCAGTGAGGACTGGGGCCTGGAGGCCCCCCTCTGTTTTTCCTGGGCAGTGCAGACCAGGAAGAGATTTGGTCCCTCACCAGGACCACTCCACTAAGCAGGAAGAAGAAACCATGATGCCTGCTTTGGTGCAAGGCTGGGGATGCCACTGCGGGTGCCTTCCCCAGTCCCGCTGCAGAAGAGCCCCAGCTGCGGTTGCAGGCAGCATCCCACGCGGACAAGAGCACTGGGCTCCGAGCCCGCTACGGGGACCACTGGCTGCAGGGACATTTTCAGCCCTGCAAAAGGAGGGCAATTCTCACAGGCCCAGGGTGAGAATGGAATGCGTTAATATACTGAAAGCACTAAGAATGGCACACGAAATAAGTTCCTAGCATTATCTGGGAACCCTCCCAAGGCAAGTGGATAGATCCTGGTTTTGCCCGTTGTTCCCGTGGCTTGCCCAAGTAGCAGACGGGATTCAATTGATTCCAGGACCCTCACACATAGCCGCCACAGTGGCACATCCTGGGCTCTCTGGCCTTTGCACAACAGTCAATTTGGGCCCTTCAATCTCGGTCAGGAGGCCGGGGCCCTGCTGACGGAGACTCAGCGCCGCCCGGGCTGTCTTGCAGGAGTCGGCTGTGGAGCTCCTCTTCGCTGCCTTCTTCACCACCGCCAGTGCCAGCACATCCCTCGTGCTGCTGCTACTGCAGCACCCGGCGGCCATCGCCAAGATCCGGCAGGAGCTAGCAGCACAGGGGCTGGGGCGCGCGTGCAGCTGCGAGCCCTGGCGGGCTGAGGATAGTGCGGGGCCCTGGCCCAACTGCCGCTGCGAGCCAGACCTCAGCCTCGCAGCGCTGGGCAGTCTGCGCTACGTCGACTGCGTGGTCAAGGAGGTGCTGCGCCTCCTGCCGCCGGTGTCCGGGGGCTACCGCACAGCACTGCGCACCTTCGAGCTCGATGTAAGTGCGCTGCGCCCCGCCCCCTGCCACCCCGCAGCCTGCTGCGGTGCCTGGGTGGGTGGAGGTGGGGAGGTGGGAGATTAAGACCGCCAAGTCTTCTCTTTCTCTCTCGATCCTCCACTTTCCCGCCTGTAAAGTGGGCTGAGCCCTGTTCTATTTCCCCAGATCCATGGTTCAGGGGCTCAGGCGTAGCGCCTGGTGAGCCGACAAGGTTAGGGATCCCATATACTTATGCTTTGGCAGCTGGGGAGATTGGTCAACTCGATTAGATCCAAGTTTGAGAATAAAACCTTTTCTCCCCACAGCACCCCCCCCCCTCCAGCCAGTGAGTCTGGGTGGAGTACAAAGAGCTCCCCTGAAAGTCCCGTACCCCGCCCCCTCCTTCACAAGATCAAAGAACGATCCTTGTTACCTGTCCCGGGTCTCCTCGGCTAAGGATTGCAGAAGAACGGGACAATGAAAATATGGGTTAGAATCTCTTAATGGTCTGATCAGGCCGGCTTCGTCAGGGCAACAAATTTAAGGTCTAGGCCTGGCTCCATCTCTGTAAGACCTCGGGCAAGCCCCACCTCACTCAGGGCTTCATTTTATTCTGTGGAAGGAAGCTGCCTTGATCCCTTCCAGCTCTGACACTCCAGGTGGCGCTGGGCTGTGCTACACAATGGCAGAATCTGGGAGTGGGCAAAGGTGTTTGTCTGAACAGCTGTCACTGCAGTCCCCTTGTGCCCCAGCTCAGTTCCTGGGAGGCTCCAGGCAAAATGGGAATCTCCTTCCCTGACCCTTACATAAAACAGCAAACATCCGTGGTGTGCTGCAAACCAGGATTCCAGGGCCCCGTGGGGACTGGTACCCTGCCCTGGAGGACCTGATCATGGAGAGAAAGGGGACCAGGGCCTACAGCTTCATCCCAAATGTGGTGTGGAGTGATCAGCGGTCCTGGATGACACCACAGCATTTGGGGGGTTGGGATTTGAGCTGGAGCAGTAAAGGGTGAGGGTGGGACAGCATGGCACTGACAGCAGACAGCCCCCACAAAGGTGGGTGGATCAGTGAGGTGTTTAGAAGTGTGTTGGATGTTGCACCTTGGAATTCAGATTTCATCCTGTGGGTGTTAGTGTGCCCTACAAGACCACAGGGAAAGGGGGAGGAGCACAGGTGCCCCAGGGTGAGCAGCGCTCAGGGGTCTTAGCCATCCAGTTTACAGATGAGGAAACTGAGGCCCAGGGAAGAGAGCGAGAGAGCTCCTCTGCGGTTCTAAGATCTTCTCTCTGCCTGTCTGAGAGCCTCCTAGTAGACACTGTGGGGCCTGTGCAGGCACGAGAAGCAGGATGGTCAGGGGGAAGGAAGACACGTCAGAAAGTGAAGTAGTTCAAAAAGCTGGAGGTGCACAGAGGAATATGAAAGCTGCTTTTCAGCATTTTAAGGACTCTCCTGTGCACCTTCTTAAAGTGTAGCTACTGACCTAAACATTGTTGTTGTACAGCTGATGGACAGGAATCAGAGAGGCCATTTTCAGTTCAGTGCAAGGAAAAACCTTTGACCGCTGAGAAATGGGGCCTCTGTCATTTGCGTTGTTCCGGCCTAGACAGCTGGTAGGGGCAGAACTAGAATTTAGGTCCTGATCCAATATCAGAAGAAAAAAGAAAGACAAAACCAAAACATTGAAACATAAATAATAACATCACACTGACCACCAACATATATGCCAGACCCATTTATTTTTATCCTTACAACAAAACGAGTACTTTTATTTTATTTATTTTTTTTACAATTAAGAAACTGAGGGCTCAGAGACTGAGTAGCTAGCCCAAGGTCACACAACTCAGCTGAGAAGGAACTGTGATTGGAACACAGAGTGACCACTCTTGCACGTTGGACACAAATTCCTGCTAGTTTTCAGAATTCTGTGTGATGCACCCAGGGTGGAGGGTCAGTTTAGGCCTGGTTTCCAAGTGCCTCGTGATCAGGCAGGTCTCCTCACCTCCCCGCAGGGCTACCAGATCCCCAAGGGTTGGAGCGTGATGTATAGCATCCGGGACACGCACGAGACGGCCGCGGTATACCGCAGCCCGCCTGAGGGCTTTGACCCCGAGCGCTTCAGCCCCTCGGGCCAGGATGCACGCAGCACCTCAGGCCGCTTCCATTACATCCCCTTTGGCGGAGGTGCGCGCAGCTGTCTCGGCCAGGAGCTGGCGCAGGCGGTGCTCCAGTTGCTCACAGTGGAGCTGGTGCGCACGGCGCGCTGGGAACTGGCCACGCCTGCTTTCCCCGCCATGCAGACGGTGCCCATAGTGCACCCGGTGGACGGGCTGCGGCTCTTTTTCCACGCGCTCGTGCCTTCAGCACCGCCAGATGGGCTACACCTCTGATCCACTGCGCTGCGGGACATGACTTGGTCAGTGGCACTGGCACAATCGTAGTGCCATCCATCTGCACTTCCTCAGTGCCAAGTCGTGTGCTCACCTACTCATTCAACAAACAGTCAACGAATGTGTCTCTGTGCTGGACTCTGGGACTCTGATGGAGGGAGAGCTCGAGCCACCGCCGCAGAACCAGAGAAGCGCCCAGGCTGGTGAGAAGGTGTCTCTTGCGCATTCTGCGCCCTTAGGAAAGAAAGGTCATTGGCCAAGCTTCTTAAGCCCTTCCCAGGATCCCGAAGCAAGGATAGAAGGAACAGATATCCATTAGAGCTATGCAGCCTCGCCTTTCTGCGCCAAACCTGGGAGGGTGATTGGATTGAGCGGCTGCTGGGTGTATTGCTCCTCGTGGACCAGGCCAGAGACTCAGCACACAGGGCCAGGGCTGCAGCCCTTGCGCGGAAGCGGGGACACCAGAAGCACCTCCCTGGCCTGGCTTTGGGCCATAGAAAGACACACTGAGAAGGCGCCCAACGGAAGGCCCTCGGGGCGGCCGGCCTCCACCGGTGCGCCATGGCCGCTCAGCGGAAACTCAGAACTGTGGGCGTTTCCAGGGCTCTAAATGGCTCAACATCACCGGATTCTGCTGGTGACTTCTTAAAAGAAAAATTCCTCCTTCAAGGACCCCTTTAATCTTCTCATTTATATGGGAGAATAGGCACACTTATTCTGTAAGTCTGGATTATTTTCACGGGAGGTTGAGACATACTGAGAGAGGTTTGGAGTATTTGTACCCAAAACAGGAAGGCCAAGTAGTTTACTGGCAACAGTTGAGCGAGGAGGCTGGGCTTAGTTGGGCAGCCAGCTGCTCCTGATGGAAAGGCATGGAGTGGAGAGTCTGGCGACATCCAGGAAAGACTCCTCCCACCCTGACCTCAAGGACCCACCTCAGCAAATACCTAGAGAGTGGCTGGGAGCTGGGGCAGCCTGGGACTCAGACAGTAGACAGACTTCCCCCCAGAGCACAGGATAACCCCAGGAGCTGGGCTGTGGACTATCTCCATGATAGCTGCCTGCTGGGACCTTCTGGGTCACTACCACCACCTCCTTTATTACAGAGGAGAAACTGAGGTAAAAGATCCACCTGAGAAGCCAGTGACGAGTTCTGCACTGCTGGACCAGTGCTTTCCTTCACCCCATCACTTAACACCTCTCCTCCCTTCAGCTTCTGGGCCTGTGGCCACCGTGTAGGTGGGACTCAGCCCTTTCATCCATCAGAGTGATCCCTAGGTGGGTTTAGGAACTCTCTCTGGACCTTTGCAACAGATGTTCCCATCAGCATTTAAATCAAAGCCAAGAGCCTCCAGTGTCTTAATTCCTAACAGCCTCAATCTGCCACCCATCTTTAGACAGGCGGGGGCAGCTGGAGTGATGGGGGAGCCAGGAAAGTTGCTGCCACTGCCGAGGCCCCAAATGACCCCTTAGTGAACCAGAAGGAAGCTGGTGCCCTCCTGACCTTATGCTTAAGGTGGATCCCTGGGCCAGAAGGAAAGGGGGAAGCAGCAGGGCCAGTAGCTCAAGAGCGCAGCAGGCCTTTCTGAGCCTGGCTGACACCGCCATAACCCCATCCAGGGCAATTCATCACCCACTGCTGACCCAGTGCCGGCGCCAGGCCATGGGCTTGGCAGGCCCCTGAGCCAGCAGAAGTGGAGAGACTGGGGCTTGCCCTCAGGGTGCTCTGCGGCTGCAGAGACAACAGCCAGGCCTGAGAAGCTCCACCAGGGTGACATGACAGGAGGATGAGGTTTTGGGGTTGCTTCTGATGTGGGGGAAGAAGAGAAGTATGGGGGGGGGGCTCTCAAGATCCCTGACAGTGAAGCTAGTTTCCATAGACCTGGTTTACCTGCTCTGGATCCTGTACTAACTATAAGCCCCTGTAGGGGGCAGCTCTGATTTTACTCTAATTTCCCATCCATCCATTGTTTTTAGTAATTGCACCGAGTACCTGAGCTCTTTCGTTAGTAGCTCCAGATTCCCCGAGGAAGGAGCAGACGTGGTTCTTGCCCTTCTGGATGTGATATGCTCACAAAGGAAGTGGACAATAAATTAACCAGAAAACGAAAGAGCAAGAATATGTCCAACGGTGATAATAAGGGCTGGAGAGAACATCAAACAGGCCTGTGATGCTGAGTACCTGGGGGCTACACTCAGCAGGGTGGGCCAGGCAGGCTTCTCTGAGGAGAGCTCATTGGACTTTGGAAGGAACCAGCCAGCGACAACCTGGGAGAAGGGCTCCCCAAGCAGAGGGAACCGCAGGTATAGAGCCCTGAGACAGCACTGAATGTTCAAGAGATGGGAGGAAGGGGCTAAAGGGAGAAAAAAGGAGGAGGGGTGCTTCAGCTGCCCTAGCTCACCCTACTCCCCTCCCCCAGCACAAACTAGTCCCTAACCCCCACCCCAACCCGGGGCCACAAGGAGATTGTTTTGTAAACATTTAGAAACATTTTGCTTTCCAGTGAACCAACTCCCCCTCCCCGCCCACCGCCACCCAAGAAAGATTGGCAAGCTTTCTCGATCAAAGTTCTCACTGGGCTGGTAATTTATTGACCCTCCCCCCCAAGATATTTTTTATTGGTCTCCACTCGCCCATTTAATCCTTTTCTGCTGGACGTCCCCCGCCGGACGCCCCCACGGGTCGCGATGGACAGATAGATTAAGACACACCTCCTCCCCTGTGGCAATTTCCAGCCCACAGGCCCCGCTCATCTTGTGACCCGGCGCGCGCTGAACTTGGCGAGGTGGCCCTGCAGAGTTCACTCTGATGTCACGGTCCGGCCTGCAGGGGTCACAGGCGGGTCAGGCCCGAGGATTGGGACTGGGCCCCAGGTCACGCCCCCGCTTGCCCGCTTAGCTCACCGGCCAGAGGCACTGTCTAGAGAGGGGCGGGCCCGGATTTCTGAGAATTACCTCCAGCGTCTGGCTTCGGTTCCTGCGGCCGGAGCCCAGAAGTTGTCTGGCACCAGTTACCGTCGCCGGATCGTTAGAAGAAATGACAGTCGGAGGAGCCCTTTTCTAGAGCCTCTGAAACGCGCAGCAGGGTTAGGCGGAAACGCTGACTCCCCGAAACACGCCCGACGGCGACCCCGGCTTGGAGCGTTGCGCGGTCTGCTCGCTCCCTAAGACTCCGCAGACATTTTTCACTCCCGCGGGCTTTGGGGACCCCCGCGGGAGGGCCACGTATCTAACAGCTCTCAAGATTAAAGAGTTTCCCATCTCCATGGGACGCTTTCCAAAGCGTGAGGTTGGCTCGTTCTAGAGCCGGTGTTCAGTTTTAAACAAACGCGCGTTATTCCGTTTCGTTTTCGGCCCCGCTGGTGCGTTCTGCGCCCAAACCAACGGAGCGCGTGGCCCTGCTGGTCCGAGGCTGTGCGGCTTGGCCGGGTGGGCAGCCGGGATCGCCAGTGCGCTTGCCGCGATGCGTGAACTCAGAACTGGCAGCACACTGGCTGCGGTAGCAGCTGATTGTAGTTGAGCAAAGGCCAGCAGACCGGCTTCCCAGCTGGGATACCGACGCTCCCATAGGCCTGGGTTTAGAACCGCGTACCCACTCACCCGGGTGGCTTTACTCTGGGTGGGAGCCGGGAGAGCGCAGGAAGGCTCCCGTGTCGGGAGTCGCGGTCACTCTAGTAGCGTAGGTAGCCTAGCGTGCCGGGAGCTGGGAACAGTATTTGCAACCAAAGGCCCCTTTTGGAAACGCTCCACCACCCGGAGGTGTGAACAGGTCAGGAATGATCGCTTCCAAATTAAGGAGGAGGAACAAGCGCCAGGATGTGTGGTGATTGCCTAAGGTGATGCAAGTAGAAATGAAGTCGGGACTCGGAGTCCAGACCCCTGGGCTTTCCATATTCTGTCTCCGTCTCCTCCTCCTGTTAGGACTAAGGCTCCCGTTCTCCCCTGCCTAGAGCAGGCTGCACGCCCCGGGGTCCTCGGAATCCGGCCGGCTGTGGCCGGGTCGCAGAGCGCTGATTGCTCAGGCGCCGAGGAATTGCCCCCACGGGGGCGTCAGGGTTGGGGCTGACTGGTGCAGTTTTGCACCTGGAGTCCTGAGGGATCTGGGGGCTCTCTTGTACCCTTAGATTAGATCTTCCATGACTTCATGAGTGCGGGCCCCGTCGGGGGGGGGGGCGGGGAACTGTGCTCCCAGCTCCTCCAGTCATGCCTGACTCTCCGCAGCTCTCAAAGGGGTTCTGGCCCTCGGCTCTTGGAAGAGTCGGGAGGTCTTCGTTTTACTCTGCGTTCTGGACCTCAGTTTCCCTACCTGTGGGATAAGGCAGCTTGACGATCCCTGAATGCACTTCCCTGTCCTTCCCCAGCAGGTAAAAGGGAGCCCACGAGGCGCCAATAAATGGAAAACCAATGAAGGCAGCTCTGGTCTGGGACCGCCAGTCGGACCCGACGGGAGGGATTCCACAGAGACCACCAGGAAGCCCAGGGCTTGGCGTTCCCGCTCCCCGGAGCCCGGATCGGCCCGTGTCGCCACCTCGGAGCACCGCACACCTTGGATGGGGAGCCAGGCAGCTCTTAGCTCCACGCCCCAGGAGGCACGCTCCGAGAAAGCCGCCTCCGCGCCACCTCTGCCTTGACGCGGAACAAACGGTTAAAGATTTTGGGCAGCGTCTCGCGGGGGGAGGAGCCAGGGACCCAATCCGCAATTAAAGATGAACTTTGGGTGAACTAATTTGTCTGACCAAGGTAACGTGGGCAGCAACCTGGGCCTCCTATAAAGCGGGCGCGCGGCGAGGTTTGGAGTGCTGGCGGCGGCAGCAGGTGGCGCGTGAGGTCGAAGCGCGCCATGGGTCTCTTTGCGCTGCTGGCCAGTGCGCTCTGCACCTTCGTGCTACCGCTGCTGCTCTTCCTAGCCGCGATCAAACTCTGGGACCTGTATTGCGTGAGCAGCCGCGACCGCAGCTGCGCCCTCCCTTTGCCCCCCGGAACTATGGGCTTCCCCTTCT